CACCGGAAGTGACGTGGAATGTACCACACACCGGCAGTGACCCTGAATGTAACACACACACTGGAAAATATCAATAATATCAAGCTCGTGTGTGACTTTGTAGACAGGTTTCCACAAGTATACAACTATAAAAATCAAGGTTTGACCAACTGCAGTAAAACATATTAGCACAATTCTGAGAAAACATCAGCGTGAGAGTATGTAGAAACATGTAAACGCAAGTACATGGAAACAATCAAAGAACGACACATGTTTACTGATAAAGATAACAAACTGATAAAGACCCCAACCAGTAGACCCGAGTAGCTCAGTTAGATAGGTCGGTTGATACTCATGCAGAATTATTTGACTTGGGTTCGAAACCCATTGATGACAGGTCAATTATAATTATTTCTTTACATTAATTTTGGTTTATACTGTTCTGCTACACAGACATTAAAATCAATAACGTTTACACTGACACCAATTACTAAGAATCTTAATTCGGTATGGGCTTGTTTTGTTGCTGTGAAAAAGTGACATATTTGCCAATCTGCAAACGTGAATAGCTTACATCTGAAAAGGGGCCTCAGTTAACACAGTCACCAATTAAACCGTAACACCGGCTTATTCAGTTTACTGTTAAGAGTCCTCAAGCACATGTTTACACCGTGTAGACTTGACATCCTGTCCATGATTACACCGTACGAGTGGCCCTCGCTAAAATATTGAACACACTGATGCAATATGTCTGGTGTTTCCGTCTGGTCCGCGTTCTTGATAAACTCCAAACTCCGACCACACGTAAAGCTAAACTGCGTTAAGCTGCTCGTGTTCGCCACAAAACGGGCAAAACAACCCTTGACCGCTGTCTTTAATCGGTCACCATAAACTTTGTTTACACCATGTACTCCACAGCACGAATTTACCGTGCTCACCAACAACAACTTTCTCCCGTGTCACTCCAGGTGTGGTACATTCCAAGTCACTTCCAGTGTGTGGTACATTGCCTTTTCGTAAGGAATCTGTAATTGTTAATTTGTTTCAGGACTTGTAAAAGTGTTTTGCGTCTTGTTAATTTTTTTCTAATATTTAAATTTGTTTCGCCCTTTGTAAAATTGTTTCTCCTGTGAATTCTCATGACAGGTAAAAATGTTTTTCAAAATGTAAATTTGTCTCGAGATATGTAAATGTGTTTCACACTTTGTAATGTTGTTTTGCACTTCCCGGCCACCGTAGAATACCCTTCCTACTGAGCTTTGTACAGTCACTGACCCAACACTTTTTGAAGCCAAGCTCATGACCCATTGATTCAAATTGGCTTTTAATGGTCGCAGTGACACTTCTCTCTGTTTTGATGTATGTTGTACTTTAGTGATATTTATTGTATTGTTTTGCTCCATCAATATTATCTTTTTAGTTGTGTTGTGTAATATGTTTTTTACTGATGTAAAACACTTTGGTCAACCTTGGATGTATTAAGGTGCTATATAAACAAAGGTTGATTGATTGATTGATTGATTGATTGATTGATTGATTGATTGAGACAACAGTAAAGTAAATTATGACTACAACAAAAATTTTGCATGAACTACCCCTAAAAAATTAGAATTCTGGCAGAAAGCTGTCGTAAATCATACTGATACATTTGTCACCGACAATCTCTGCGTAATTTCATCTAAATTAAACTCGCTGTCTGATTTCCCTAATGTATTATACTCTCTTTGCAAATTAGGTCAAAGTTCAGCCTGTTCTGGATTCAGATGTTCGCTACATTACCAGCTCACGATTCAAGAGGTCGAGGCTGAGCTGCTTACGAGCTATTATGCGGGACTCGGAATGAATGGGCTTGATGAGGCCTGTCGGGAGGAGGGAGATTATATGAATAATGTGAGAACCAAAGCGAGGTGTTTGAGATGCCAAGTCGGGCAGGATAGAATCGGATCAGTGTGAGCTCTGGTAATAGGTCAGTAATGTGAGCAATGCTGATGAATCCCGCCATTAGTCTCCCGTTTTCTCAGCTGTTGTGGGAACTGAAAGCCAACTGGCTCTTGCCTCTGAACGGCTGCCGATAGACACTTTTCCCCAGAGCCAGCTTGGAGAGAGAGACGCACGCAGACATTTTACATTCGGCACACTTGCAGAAAGTTGGGCGTGGGAGTTTGAGAGGAGAAGCGAATGTTCGATGACCTTAAGTGTTGCTCCCAGAAGGCCGCAAAGAAATGCTAACCCACTGACTGGATTACTCACTGGGCTGAGTCACCCGCACGTGCAGCTTCACAACAAACAAATCATCAAAATGGAAAAAACATGTTCACCGTGTCCATGCACACGCACGTAAAAAAAATAAAAATCACATCGTGAAAACAAATGTAGGTCAGTCTAAGGGGTCACTGTCTTACATCCTAGAAAGCTATCTGTTAGTGTAATCAAGGTAGCACTCGAGATGATACCAGATTTTCTGTGGTAGTCAGCTGTGAACTAAACTATGTACGACTGAGGAAGCATAAAATCAATGTAATAATGTTCAAAAATATAGGGTTGGTATGATTTTGTAATGTTTTTGATAGATGTTTAGTAAGCTCACTAAGACTATATTTCTTATATTTAATCAAAAATACAGTAAACCCAGTCATTTTAATAATAATCAATGTTTTTAAAAAGTATTATGAGTTAAAGAATTTGTTAAAAATTTTATTTGAATATGTTATTGATTTCTGTTGATGACAATATGTGTTTTGAGCATGATGACTCAGGGTCACATGATCCCTCAGAATTCATTGAATTATTCATTATTATATAAGATTTGCAGCTTATTATCAATAATGAAAAAAGGTTGTGCTCCTTAATGTTTGTGGAGAACCTTTAGAAATATTGTGTGTACTAAAATACATGATCGTATATTTATACAACAGTTCTGTCTGGTTCTTGAATAATACCCTTGAGTATTATTCCGCTCACATACGGTGACAAGCAGAGGACACTCTACAGTTTGACAAATATTGCAGCTGTTGGACAACATAATGTACTTTTAAGGCAGTTTTAGTCAAGAATGTAGTTGTTTAGATTGCAACTTTGCAGTTCATTCATAAGGATAGTGCCTATTTTAAAAATGTATAATTTCTGAGAAACAGTGCGTTGGCGGCCATTAGCCTGTCTTTGAGCAAAGATGGTTGACGATGTTCACAAGATGGTGACGGAGACTGCATAATAAGCCATAAGGTAAAAACAGCATAATTTTAAACTACAAATGATCCAATCATTATTAAACAGGTAAAAGACTTTCTAAGTCGATTTCTATCTTTTGTATGTTGTAGTGCTATATTTATACCATAGTAATATTGTGACCTCCCGACTGCATCAGTGAAATACTGGTAAATCTGTGTAGACTGATGGCATTTCATGCTAGTTAGCCTTATAATCGTAGAATGTGAGCAAAATCGCATGTTTTGTCATCACTTTAGACATTACGCTAGAGAATCATTTAAATACTAGCTTTAGAGTGAGAATCATTTAAGTACTTGCTCTAAAGTGACGTTGGTGAAGTAGCAATGGTTTTTGCTGTTCTGACATCCGCTTCAGATGTAAAGGAATGTGGGAAGAAAGAAGTTTCTCTTAAAAAAAAAGGGTTTGAGACTTATGAAGTCGAACTGTTGTATAAACGCAATATCACACTCGCAGCAGTGCAATGTGGCTGTTTATCATCACTGATGGGACACTAAGGCAAACCACGCCTCCCACCAATGCCGATACACAGTCACGTTGTACTGCTACGAGTGTGATATATAAAATATTTATATATATATATATATAGTGTATATGTATAGTGTATATGTATAATGTATAATGTATTGTATTCTTTAATTAAAATACTGAGATATTTTAAAAAGTCTATTATTGGAATTTTTAATACTAAAGATCTGAAAACCTTATTATTATTATTATTATTATTATTATTCATGATGATGATGATGATACTACTACTACTACTACTGCTACTACTACGGCTACCAATAATAATAAAATAATAACAATAATATTGTTAATAGTAATTAATATAATTACTAGTAATAATAATAATAATAATAATAATAAAACAACACTAATAATAATAATAATAATAATAATAATAACAACAACAAAAGATTATATTGTAAATAGTAATTAATTTAATTAATAGTCATAATAATATTAATAATTGTTATTATTAGTAGTAGTAGCATTAGTATTATTATTATTACATATTCATATTTGCATATTCATTTCTGAAGTCTAATTATTGTTTTGTGATGATTGTAGTTGAAGAAACTAAATTAAAGAGAAATAATAATAATAATAATAATAATAATAATAATGATAATAATAATAATAATAATAATAATAATAATAATAATAATAATAATAATAATAATAATAATAATAATAATAATAATACAACTAAAACATAAAAATGTCTCTATTGTTTTGGTCCAGCACAAACAAAAAAAAAAAAAACTGGCATTTCCTAGCGCCACCGCCGTGCCAGTGCTTCTGAACTATGCGACAAGCAATTTTATGCATATGCATGGCGGTGCTGTTTATTGGCTGGCTCAGCTGAGTGCTCTGGGAGCTGAGCCCAGAAGCCAGAACAGTAAAAAGTGCAAACAGATAAATGTAAATGTGGAACCGAAAAGCCAAGACAGCTCAACCACCCAAAAAAAAAAAAAAAAGGAACAAAAAAAACTTTTGACAGTCTTCTTCCAAAGAAAAGAAGACATTTTTGGCCAAGCTGGAACAAATTATGTCCTCATAAACTTCAGCAATTTAGTTAAAAAACTGTGAAGCTCAAAGTTCATTGGCAAAACAAGTGTCTCTTACTCTGTTCGCACACGATACAAAACACAAGTGGATAACACAAGAAGAACACAATGGAACAATAAATCTGGGCAGAAAAACATGATGTCAAATAGATGTAACATAAATCAAACTGAAGAAAAAAAGATTAATGTTTTTTGACTGCATCTCACAGAGGAATCACTAACCTCCTCAGGATCCAGTTTCTGTGCACTGTAGGGCAAAGGACTGTCACAATCGGGAATGTAATCTTGGCAGTAGTCAGACGCAGCCTGAGGATCATCCACAAGCAGGAGCTGCTGGATCTCGCCCTGTAACACACACACACATATGCTGTACACTCGCACCGATTGGGCAATATTCATTTATACTGGTGTAATTCTGGAGATCAAAGAGAAATAAAGCCCCTTTTAACACTGCATAACCGCAGAACATGCTGATGTAAAGCAGAAAAGTAATTTGAGATGAAAAAGGTCTAGCGAAACACTGATGAAATAAGAGGTAAAGCTGGATGAATGTATTTTATACGCACATATAACGAAGGCTATTTTAAAAGAGAATAGGGTATAGGGAGAGCAATCGCTCTTCAGCTCAAATATTGTCCCTTTACATGTTTTTTGACTCATCTATCACCCCTCCTACAGTTATCATCAGTTTATAAACAATAAGAGCTTTCTCCTATATAGTGCAGCAGTTTCAGCCAGATAACTGTTTAGCTGGGTTTTTCGCAGTTTCTCTGGAGCTAAAATCAGCCTACTGAGAAATTAAAGAAGCATTTTAGTGGCAAGCAGTTATAGACGCAGCAGAGAAGACAAATGTGTGCTGACTAGTGAACACCTGGTTTTAAAGGGTTAGTTCACTCAAATAAAAACTTTGTTGTGCTTCAGAATACAAATGAAGATATTTAAAGGGTCACGAAACACCAAGACACATTTTTGAGCCATTGACAGTCATATATGTGTTCCACACAGCTAAAAACACTATTAGGAAACGTATATTTCACTAAAAAGTGAAAATTGATCGTTTTTGCGTTATTTCGAGCAAATTCGTCCTTCTGGTTTGAAACGAATTTTTGAAACTGCGCCACGGCCATGAGATCTTAGCGTGTATTCCAGCGTGTAGACTGGACGTCTGTACCTGGGAGTTCCGTATTACGTCTCTGAGTGTGCTGCATTAATGCATGAGTAAGGCTTGGTTCAAACCAATCAGCGCTCTCTATTGTGCAACTTCATTAATATTCATTAATGTTTCAGTGTTTAGACAACAGAGAGACGTCACGTTATGCTGGCAAAACAAACGTGCAGTGTTGCTTTTATAATTTGCCGCAGTGAAGGTTTTGTTTTCATTTTCTTTCTATTAGAGCGCAGCTGGATTCACGTGTGGATTACAGTGCACGCGATGCGCAACAACAATATGTGTCTAAGGAACATTGTTCACCCGAGATCTTTTCTCATCTGCAAATGGTGAGATCTGGATTTGCTGCTCGTCTCCTCTTAATAAAAGAGATTATTAAGAGGAGTTGCTGGGGTTTGTCCTGTCTCTACAGATTTGGTAAGTGAGCGACCAGTGGTCTTTGTTTATTCAGATGGCAAAGTTAGTTCGTATTGTATAATGTGTAAACATGTTAGCACCACAACCAAACGTACCATCGTGTAGTATTTTTTTACCGCATTTTGTGAGCTGAATAACACACACTCTTTCTGACGCTACCTGCCGAGTGCATATAAGCTTCAGGGGAAAGTCTGAGAGTTTTTTTTCTCTCATTTGCCATGCGGTAACAAACATTGCAAATATCAAATATCTCGTTTATCATGAGGGGCATGAATGAAATTCCTGAATGAAAGAGCCAAACTGCAGTTAAAGTCCACTTTTAAATAATTTGGCAAATAATTTGATTACTTAAGTCCAAGTAAACACAGTCACTTTCTCCCCTGTGTGTGTGTGTGTTTTGACTCTGAAAATCAGCACGTGCCCAAGTCGACACTCCCATATCATCCCTCTTTTGCTCCTCTGACACTTTCCCTTAAACAGAGCTGGATACGCCCACTTTCCTGACTTTTTCCAAAGTAGAGGTGTGAAAACACTCTGCTGAAACAAGGGGGTTTCATGGCCCTTTAAGATGAAATCTGGGAGCTCTCTCATCCTTTATAAACAGCTGCTGTCCTAAAACGTTCAGAAATGGAGCCAAAAACATTATCAAACCATTTTACATGACTTCCGTGGTTCAACTGTAATAACACAAAGCTCTAAGAACACTTTTGTGTGCACTCTGAAAAAATATTATGACAAAAAGTCTGACTACAAACATTTTTTAAGTTACTTTAACTTATTTTATTAAGTTAATCAGGTTTCAACTATTTTTTTAAGTTTAAAGCTTAACTTATTATGTTTAGCCAGTTTGATTGATATACTCAGTATAAAATATTAAGTGTAAAATATGAGTGTAAAATTAAAAAAATTATATTATACTGTAAGTTGAGATGACAAAAAAAGTCAACTAAAAAGACTAAGGGCTCTATTTTAACGATGTAGGCGCAAAGTCTGAAGCGCATGGTGCAAAAGCATTAGGGCATGTCCGAATCCACTTTTGCTATTTTAAGGATGGAAAAATATGCTCTGTACCCTGGCGCATGGTCTAACAGGGTTGTGCTTATTCCCTTTAGTTATGGCTGTGTTTTGAGCATAACGTGCAGCAGATCAAACCAATAAGATTCTCATCTACCATTCACTTTAACAGTCAGTTGCGTCACACCATGGCACATTTGCTATTTGCATGGCGGACTTTGTAAGTGGAAAAACTGAATGCTTAACAAGTGAGAAAACCACCAAACAAACCATCTGCAGGAAAATTCTGTATTGGACGATAAAGAACAAGCCTCCTCCATTCGGCCTACATATTTAACTTTATTTGTTAAGCCCAAAGATTTGTTTCAAAACTGTTTCCAAATTTACTTCAAAGTTTTTAGCAAACGAATAAATAAACAATAATAACAATAATAAGAGTGGTAAAAAACATACGTCCTATTCTTATGCCCTATTTGGTAATGTATTTGTTTCCAAAACACGAAGGGTGGAAAAATCAAAACTTGTTTTTATTAAACAAATATAAATATGCGTATAATAAATAATGCTGCTAATAATAATAACATTATACGAAAGCAAATTGTCATGAATAAACTGAAAAAAAGCCCCCTGAGACAAAGAAGGCATTGAGGTAGCAGTTTTCATACTTATGTAGAAAATAATATTTTTTATAACATTTATATCCTTAATTTTTTTCATATGTAAAGATATTTTTGTGTTGCTGTACATCCTGTGTGTATTAAGCAGTGTGTATAAGCATTTGGACCTGCTACCGCACATACAGTAACTAACATGATCTGCACTGAAATTTAGCCAAGCTTTCAGTTGGTCACCTACTTTTTAATGCTCTGTTTTATCACTTTTATTTATTTATTTATATGCATTTAATATAATCACATACATTACAGTAGACTATTTTTATCATTGATCTGAACATCTCAACATTTTTACACAATTATTTATGCGTTTAAAGCATCTGTTCTGCGATAAATACTTCTCATATGATATTTTAACGGCCAGTACAGCTTTACTTTGACATTTCCTTGAGCGAGACTGATGTCCACTGAAACTTTCTTTCAGACATCTCGCCAACCAAAAGGGTACCATTGGTACCATTTTACAGTGAATACTTAAGCCTTGTAAGGGTCACCTGTACCGTAACGAACCGAACCACTCAGTGAAAACAGGCCATTTGTGATACTCTGGATACCCCTCCAATGTTATTCTACAAGAAACAGGATCCAAGGGGGTGCAAAAAAACAATTTTGGTCATTCTCATTATGCGTCACATTAAACGGTTTTCACGTTGTAAAATACAAATCATTTTATAAATGCATATTTTCAGAAATATTTTGGAGCACCTAACCCTAAACCTACCCACTACTGACTAACATAAGCAGCAGGCAAAATAAGCAGAGTAATGTGCAGTTATTGCAAGACAGTCATTTTAAAGAAGTACAAATAATGATGAGGTGGAGGGTTTTTGGTGGGTTGGGGGTCGAATGCCCTGCAATGTGGGAGAACGCACTAGGGTACCGGTGGCTGAAAAGTAGGTCAATCAAAAACCTTACTAACAACTGTGTCTATTAAATGATTGGGACAGAGAGATAGCATTTAAAGAAAGACAAAGGAGAGAGAGAAATAGCAGAGTCTGGGGCGCCACCATTTATGCTTGTTTTGTTTGGTCTGTTTAAATAAAAAAATAACATTTCTTGTCTTCTGTTCCTGATCCTGTCCTTTTCCTCACCCACAATTTTCAAACTTGTTGCTTGTCATGTTGATTTAGTCATATCTTTAAATATGCCAATGCATTGAGTCAATATATAATATCGATAAGATTTCTCATTTAAAGTGAAATCAGAGGAGTACCCAGAGTATCGAAGAGGGTGTGAGCGTATGAGCATCAATGATATGAGCATCAATGTGATGAATATGAAGTGAGAATGTATTATCCATATCAGGTCTGGGCAAACTAAGGTTTTGGAATGGTTAACAGTGTTTTGATTCCTTTTCTGAACGTTGTTGTCTACAGAGGATGATGATGCTCACTGATTTCATCCAGAATACTTAAATGTGTATTCCAAAGATGGATGAAGGTATCAGGGGATTGGAATGACACAAGGGTGAGTAATTAGTAACAGAATATTCATTCGTTGTTTTTTTTTTTTTTTTTTTTGATGAACCTTTAAAATGCACTTGGATTGTAGATTGGTTTCTTTTGCCCACTTTCAGTCTATTTTCTGATGTCTTTCAGAGTATCCATTTATTGTCTATAAATATCTTTGTGATCTAATCCTGTGAAATAAGCCCACACAATTTACATATGAACATGAAAGGAGACAACAGAAAACAACACTGAGAGCATCAGCTTTCCTTTCATTTCAAATATACAGTGGGCTTGTGTTTGAATCAGGACTGGATTTTTTCCTCACCTTCAAACCAAATGTATGACTTCAGACTGCAAAGTAGCTTAGTAGGTAAGCATTAAATATTAGAGATGTATTTGGTCACAGAACTTTAAAGGCAGACAGAAACACCCAGTGATGCAGTGTTTTGTGTGTGTGAGAGATTTAGCTGTTTTGAATTAAACAGGCTCTATCATTTAATCATGTTAATACATAGTTGAATGTGATAAGAGGATTTCCCTTCAACATATTAGGCATGCAGCATTACAAAAATTTTTGGGAGTCAAAGAGTTTCAGTGCATGTTCAAACTTATCAACATACT